GACTCAATTTCAAAGAGGTGAATAGGCACTGACAAATATGCCAAAAAGAAACCCCTATCATAGTATAACTTTGGCAGAGAAAAACAAACTCTTTAATCAGAAAACAGATTTCATTGTATGTATATATATATTTTTTTCATCTTTTGGAAAGTTGGCACATGCCATTTGTGGAACAACCATTATTGTGTTCTGTAAAGCTCCTTCTTGAGCTCAGAAGAAGCAAGGTTAAGAGAGTTGGTCTTGGAATCAGGAAGACCTGCCTTCATGTTGTACTTCTGCCATATACTGCTTGTGGAATCCTGGAGAAGTCTCTTATTCACTCTCCAGTGGTCCCCAGCAATTTTCTAAAACTATAAATTGCATATCTGCATCAATAACTGGGCATCTCTTTCTTTCTCTCGCTCCATATATATGAGTATGTATGTGTGTGCATATGACTTCACATATTCAGACTACAAAAAAAATAAGTTTTGTCATGTCGTGTTTTGTCATTTTGTCATTGTTACCAATTTTGGCCTTTACGATGTCCTTTGGATATTTCATTATTATCTGAAATTAAACTCAAATTCAGATAATTGAAGATATATAAATTTTGATTGCATTGTAGTCCTGTTATCCTCAAATACTCTTTTTGGTCAACTAAGATTGCTTAACCCATGATGAGTCTTTTTCTGTTGACATGAGGGGAAAAAGTGAAAATTGCACTAAATAAATCTATTTCCCTTTGGCTAATCGAAAGCAGAATGAGGCAATGCAAATATTTTCAGCCTAGGAAAGAAAATATGTGGACACATACGTATTATACTTTATTTCGTTTGAATATCAAAACAACCACACATTCAGAATTAAATGCAAAATAAGCAAAATACTGAAGGGTTTAATGCATGGAAAAATGACTGTTTAGCTAAATTTATAAGTAGTGAAATACATGATTAAGGGAAAAAAGTATCCTTTCCTTAATTATGTAGCTTTAGAACTAGTAGAATCACTAATAGTAAGGAGTTCCACTTGATTTCCAAAAGCTATTTCTCAAAAAAGTACATGTCTGCATATTGACATGTGGCAAGAGAATTTTCATGACTGTGAAGCTGTTTATTACCTTTGGAAGACATAGAGCCATTTGGTATGTGTTCATGGGCAGTGAGAATTTATGTTTAAGGAGTGTGCCAGGGTACAGTCAGCTGTTCCAACAGCCAGTGAATGAGCCAGTGATGGGAATACTAGAGTCAAAGTTTCTTTATTCCTGAGCTGATCCTCCTTTAAAACAAAACTTTGTGGTCTTCTTATTGACCATTTTCATGGACTGAGTTTTAACTTCCTGTGGAGTATGTGAGTATACTATGACACATCATGCTAATAAAAATATATACATATTTAAACCTTGCTTTTCTTAAGTTTATATTCTGTTCATATAATACTGTTAGTAATTAGGAAGCTCCAGAAACTAGATGCCAACTTATCACCTACATTTATGAAGCTTCTAAAACCATCTTCTGTACTGATAAAAGACTGATCTAAAAGTTTATAGGGAGGTATTTTTGAAAACAATTGTTTATGCTACATTTTTACTTGAAAAACCTTCCACTATTTCCCCAAGGGGGTTGTTCAAAAATGAAATCTATGTGACAAACTTTCCTATTTTTATATTTGTCTTGTTTCTTAAAATTTTCCATTCTTTGCTGGAAATTATGCATTCTTATGCCACATTGTATTCTGTCCCATCTTTATTGGTTGCTTTCCATTGTAAGGTTTCCCACAATAAAACTTCTTTAAGTAAACACATTTAATGTGAATGGGCTGTCAGGAGCCCTAGTCCAGATTTCCAGATTTCCACTTCGCACTGCTGTCCATTCATAGAGACAACTAAGTACCCTTCCATCCATCCCCAGTTCAAAACAGTTAGGAGCATTTTAGGTTCTTCCCTAAGGTGCCAAAATGCATAAATCTATGCCTTCTATTATTCTTGTATGGAGATACAGAGAATGGCTTTATTTTATTGCAAATGTAGAGAATTAATGAATTGTTGGTCCACCAGGAGTATCTATCCCCAATCCATTTCTTTACCACTAGCCCAAGGGAGATATATTACCCAGAGTCTGCAGTTGGAATTTAGAGTTCATTTACCCCCTTAGGAATGATGTTCTAACAGTTGTTGGCTATGGAGTTGAACTTGTACTATCAGTACTAAATTTCAGGTACATCATTGGGTTAAATAGGCTTTTTGTTCACTGACTTGGGAACCTGTCCACCATTTATTATCATTGTTTCTATGGGAAAATGAGTTCTGTGTTCCAAACCACTGAACTTATAAATGAACTTTTGGAATACAACTCATTCATAAACTGGAGACTCTGCCCATACTGAGAGTCAAATCATATCTTCTTAAGCATACTGCTATCAGTTTAAAGTATTTTCAGTCTGTGTATAGACAGTTCATCCTTTTTTCTTTTGTTCAGATCAGTTGTGCATCTTTTGTTCTTTCTCCATCTTCCTAATCATTCCTTTTACTGTTTTTTTTTTATGTCATGACTTGTCTAAGCTCCTCAAAAGTAGGACCTGTTTTCAATACTTCAGTATTCCTCAGAATGTTTAACAGAATGGTGGGTGCCAAATACAGACATAATAAATACCTATTGACCTGGCACTTTGATTTAATAAATAATGCACATGTCAGATGCCAAATGCATATTCAAGCATCTAGCTGTCAAGCTCAGACCCACTTTTCTATATCTCTCTCCTATCAAGTATCTTTGACATGGTGTTGTTAATTCCTCAGGTGCATTCATTAGTTTTCATTGTTTAAATTTCCTTTGTTCCCCCCCCCAAATTATAAATTCTTCACTTCTTGTCAGTTGCAGTCTTTTTCTATTTTATAACTCTTAATCCATTGTTCCTAACATTCAAGGACTGTTTATCTTTCAACATTCCAAAGTATAATACCTTCTGATATCCACTAACCTGTCTCCATGTTTAAATTTCTAATCTTAATCACTCTTGTTTATAACACCATTTCTTTGTAGTCTTTCTGCTAATTCACAAAATGATTGTAGTTAGAAAAAAACAGTTTTGAGTTTCACGTCCTAGTGGATAGAGTCCTGGTTAGATTTAAGAAAACCTGGGTTCAAATACCACCTGTAACTTCTGCTATCTGTTGGATCATGAACATTCAGTCTCAATTAATAAGCATGAGCAATTACAGATGAACTAATCTTCCTCCTAACCTTGTGTTAGTTCAATCTCAATTTTCTTGTGTATAAAATGGTAGTACCTATCTTAACTTTGAGTTCTTTTGAGGCTCAAATGAAATAATATATGTAAGTCACTTCAAAAACCTTAAAGTGCTATATAAATATCTGCTGTCATTGTACATGAAACAACTATAGAACAACTAAATGAAAAGCTGGTTGTTTGGGGTTTTTTGCTTCTGAGTACAGTAAGAGTTCAGGGATAGAAAAAAATCAGTGGTCATTGGAGAAATCAAGGAAAACTTCCTGATTGATGTGAGACTTGCTTTGGCTTTGACAGACCACTAGGATCTGGATAATTCAACTAACAGGCAGCTTAATACTTCTGAATCTCAGTTTGCTCATCAATAAAGTGGGAGTGATGACATATATTTCTTGCCTCATCAGGTTCTTCTGAGGAGAATTCCCTTTAATCTTTAAAGGTTACAAAAATGCAGAAATGTAACTAGGATTTTTCATGCTGAGGTAAGGGGAGAAGATTACCTCCTGGAAGAGCAGCTTCACCCTAAAACACCTGAAGGTGTGTGTGTTGCTGAAGCCTTGAGAGCTGCTATGGGGTGAGGGGAGATCAAGACTGTGCCCACCGGAGGAAGAAGGGGCCCTAGGACTAGGCTTTCATGGCCACCTAGCAGAGATGAATTCATCTGGGGTGCACGGTTGAGAGAGAAAAAAGTGAAGATGTGCTCTTTGGCAAAAACCTAGTCACCCTACTGTTTTTAAGGCTCTACATAAACTGGGTCTATCATGGTTAGGTTCTATATTATTATTGACATTTTAGTGACATTTAGTTATATCATGGAATAAATGAATTTTTGTAGACTGACTGAACAAATGAATAAGGACTTATTAAACACTATATGCCAGATTCCTTACCCAAGCATTGGAGATACAAATACAAAAGTACAACAGCCCCTGCCCTAGAGGAGTTATATTTCGATGGAGGATACAACATATATGGAGAGTAGTGGACAGGGAAGGGAGTTTTTATATTGAAGAATCAGAGTGGTGAATTGATCCATAGAACAATCACTTGATATGTCCTTTCCAGATGCAGTGGTATTACTGATTGATTACTGTACCCAGGACAAGTGGTAAAAATCCAAGTTTAGGGAATAGGCACCGAATGGGTGGGCAGATGGCAAGATGGTCTGAGTGCATAAGTGGGTGGTATGTGAAGCATGTTCTAATTTGGTCTGAGATCAACTTGATATAGTCAGCTAGGGAAGTCTGCTCAGCCCCAGGGCAGGTGTTCAAGGAGGCCCAGGTGTGCAGAATACTGGTTTATTATCATTATTTTTTTTATGAGGCAATGGGGTTAAGTGACTTGCCCAGGGTCACACAGCTAATGCGTATTATGTGTCTGAAGCTGGATTTGAACTCAAATCCTCCTAACGCTAACTAAAGCTGGAGCTCTATGCACTGCACCACCTAGCTGTCCCTAATTATTTTTAACGGGAAAATGTGTTCTAGCTTCTGGAAAACTAATTCACAAACAGACTTTTAGAGATCTTGTCAAATCATATGTTTAGGACTTTCTGTAAAATACTAAGGTATTTTCTCACTAAAGGCGAATTACTCAACTGAGTTCAGAAGAACTCAGAGTTAGCTAACTATTAGTGGTAGAAAGCAGTGTATTAATGAAGAAGCACTCTAGCAAAGGCAATGCCTGAAAATACCCTTTGGGCTTTTTCTGTGGGACCAAAATGTATTCCTTTCTCAATAGGTGCGTAGAATGGAGTCATAGGAAGTCACATGGAGTCTTTATTTACCATTTGAAAGACACAGACATAATGCGGGTTATCATACTAATGTTGAGAGATTTTGCTAGGGAGTGAAGATGAAAAATGCCATCACTTTGATTTCTGAAACATTAGAAACTATGAAATCTCTATAGAATTCTCCAGTAACCAATACCACATGATGAAAAATGCTTTAGAATCTCACTCTGTGCACATTTGGCACACAGAACTTGGAAGGCCAGCCAGAGGCTATGTGTATAATGGTTTTGCAAGTATAGATCCTGGATGTGCAGTTTTATTAATTAAACAATTTGGGGAGGGCAGGGGAACATATCAACAATGGTTTTGCATTCACCAATGATACTAGTTCCCTCGTCATGTTGGCCAAGTGGATAGGTGGCATCAACAGATCCTGTAAGGTTCATTTGCTGTAGGGTAGAGAAAAAGAAAAACTTCAGTGTTTAAAATCCAAGAAGGCTGTCAAAGAATACAGTTGTGTTTGTCCTAAAATGTAATAGGCCTTTTCTGAATGCTAGTGCTTCTGTTTTAAAAGTCACATGTTTAAGGTCTAGAGATCAACACCTGTCTATTTAGCAAAATCTAGTAGGAAAGTTCATCTGATTTTTCAGTATTTATGTACTTTGATGTTTTCCCAAATATGTATTTGTTATTTAATAGTGATAATAACATAGCAGTTCTAATGACCTGATATATGTATTGTGAAGGATTTCATTCTTTAATAATCTGTATCTAAATTACCTAGAACTAAGTATCTCATTTCTAGCTCCATTCTTTACATTAAATCATGACATCGAAGTTGTTATGCTTGCTCTGATCCCTTAGATTTTAATAATAACCAGACATTGCACTCACAATGCCGATATCCTCACTTTCAGATTATATAAAATAAATCACTGGAGAATTTTAAAAATTAGTACTTTATGCAAATTCGATATGGCTATGAATGCTAATTATAATGACAAACTATTCTATGTGTGGATGACTGTTTAGCATTTCTTTCAAAAGTGGAATTTCATAGCACATACACCATTATTTCCCATGGTCGTGAGAAGTGGGTTCCTATAATATTACGTAGCTACCCAGAATGAAATTATTTTTATGAGCCTAATAAACACCATATTTATGATAGCATTGTAGATTTGTCCCTTTTGTAATGCATGAATCATGAAATATTCCTAATTCATTACATCCAAACTTCCTGTGAAAAATCCAAAAAATGATGGATCAAAACCTTGAAATTCTTTATTAACAATTAAAGTTGAAGGTATATTTGGGGTAATACCAAAAGCCAGCTCAGTAGGAGGAGAAAAGATGAAGCTAGAGAAAATTGCTGTTGACTGAAATCAAACTACACTCGTTGCTTACAATTGATTGTGTGTTGTTCAACCACAAAGATAAATTAGAACATAGAATACTGCAATAGAAAAGTGGTTTAGATGTCATAGAGACAGTATGACTATTTTTATCTCTCAGTTGTAAACCATAGCTTACAGTGGCTGAAATGACATTGAACTGTTTTTCTCTTTGATGATTTACAGTCTGTATAGTGCATTTGTAAGAGCAGATGTCACATTTTATGTATTTGAAAGTGTCAACACTGCTGACTTATGTCTGAAGATTCTGTTCTTGAATCAATAGAATGTAGTGATTTCCATTGCTTAAAAAAGAGTGAATATAGTGAATATTGGTCATCATACTGCTACAGTTGAACTCTTACTTTTAGTCTTACTTCATCTGAATAAAACTTCTGATAATTATTTTGTAGTATCTATGTTATAATAAGCATAAAAAGTTACAGATGAACTGATACTTCCCTCTGTCCTGTGCTTAACCAGTTTTAGAAATGTTTACTTTGAGTCTCAGATGTATGTGTCCAAAGCTCAAGATTGACCAAGCAAAAATAAATAAATACTTCAAGGAAATCAGTGTATACTAGATTCTTCCCATATTTTAAATTGATTTTCATTTTAGCATTTAGGGTGCAAGCTGGTAGTCTCTCTCTCTTTTTTTAATCTTAGTCAAATTTGCATTTAAATAGAAAATGTTTCAATCACTTAACATCTGAAAACCTGAACATTTTATTCATTCTTTTTTCCTCTTTTCTGTCTCTTTTAGTGTAGAAAAGAAGTTATGTGTTTTTCCATAATAGCTGCAAATTCTGAACTTCCTTAAAAATATTAACTCACAGGTGTACTCTTCTTTCCTTAAGCCCTACTCATGAAATTCCTATTGTTAATAGGCCTTTGAGTACAGGCCATGTATAAATAGAAAATATAAAAGGCCCTCTCACTTACAAAGCAGGTATCCTTCAAAGCCACGTGACTTTTTACAAGGGGTAAAAAAAAAATGGGACTGTGAATAAAATTTAGAAGTCTGCTTAAATACAAAAGGGAGCATGTGATAGTCTAACATAAATATAAATTGTTGTTATTGGAAAATACCGAGCTTTGAATCAATAGAATGATTTCTTTGTTGCCCAATAATGTAAATAGTGCAATTACTTAAAATAAATGTGAATATGCAATATTTTTTAATGTCTTAGGAATTCTTTTAGTTGGTCAGAAATGAAGCAAAATTATTTATTCTCCAGGGAAACAAAACTATAGCAAGAATAACATTATTAGGTTTGATCATTAAAACTCAAGAGTTGGGCACAAGACTACATACTTTAATATGTGAATTAATTTAATATGTGAGAATTGTGGAGCCATTCTTCAATATGTGAATTAACAAATGCAATATTTATAGAGAACTTCTGAGTCTTTTTTCATTCATCCATCAAGTCGCCGTTTAACAGTGGGCCAACAACAGCAAAAGAAGGTACCAATGGACCAGCACCAATACTTTGCCTGTATTAGACCCTGGAGCTTCTTCTTTCTCCTAATCTAATCCTTAGACCCAAATTTCTTCTATTAGCTAAAACAAGAAGTACAATTTTCCACTGTTGCTAGTGATTTCTTACTATCACCAAAAAGTCCTTAAGCCATTGGTGCAAGGTGTGCATGGTGAAATCCCAAGAAAACCTCTTAGTGAAAAGGAGTCTATTTCATTTGCCAGAGTTCTGTATGGATTATAGAAGAAACCACTAAGATGGACAAAAGTAAATTCCATTCTTAAATTGTTTAGCTTTAATGACCAAGTTGTTATTAGTAACCAAGATAAAAGGCTGTTTCAACATTATTCATTGGATTGACAGGTTTTTTTAAAGTGCCTTTTCTGTTTACAAAACAAAAAAGGAACTTAACAGAACTCTCAAATCACAATGATGTCATATAAATATTAACTTTCTGGAGGAGATTTTGGACAAGTGTAAGAGCAGAAGTTTACATAGCATTATGTGAATGTATTTCTTTGAGGAGACTTTTCAAAAGCCCATAAGGACGTCTGTTTGACAATAGGAACATGTTTTTGAGAGTATCTATAGAGTTTTCACTGAAAAAGTAAAATTCACCATGAATGCTGTTTATTCACAAAACATGTTACAACTGTTGCAAACTCTATTAAGGGCCTCATACGTTATTTTTCCTTTGATTAGTTGTGTGTGCACTTAGCAAAGTATCTTACATTATTCTGTCATCTGCCTTCAAAGTTTTCTTAGTGCTTGAATACAAAATAAGAATATAAAAAAATAATAACAATAATAGTTGACCTTTAGATAGCGCTTTAAGATTTGCAAAGTGATATGGACAGACATCCTTTTGAAAGTATCCTAAAGTTACACATAGAATCAGTATTTTTTAAAAAAAATAAAATTCTCTCATCTATGAAATCTGTGATCACAGCTTGCTGGTGTGCTTACAGTCCTAATAAAGCTGCTTGTATTCTGGGCTAGTGGGTAAGGCAACTATGCCAAGCAGCATGTACCACATTATATTTTGCCTGTAACGTCAATCACATCTATTATTGAAATAGGAAAGCCTAGAAGAAAATGTTTCTATGAATACCAAAAAAACTATATAAAAGCCAATATGAGGGTACTTCTCACTTAGACATTATGCCTTGGTGTATTGACCCTCTCATTTTCAGTGCTGTCATTTCAAGTCTCATCAAAACTAATGATGTGATTACAGTGAGTTACCAGGTGTCACTTTTTTCCCCACCTGGTCCTGGAGGTCCACTTGGTGATGAGTGTAATTTTCTAGGGTGGAGGTGAGAGGTAGATGGTTGGGAGAAATTGGATTAGAACTGCCTCACACCACCAAAGCCAATAGCATTATTAGTATTTGGATGGACAAGGGCAGTGACAGTTATAGAGTGCTCTCCTATTGCTTCATCACTCTCTAAGTGTCATCATGATAGCTAGTGTGTGGAAAGAAATTGAAGCTGTGAGGTTGATCTCATGGTCACATCCAGGAGATATCAAGTAATCATTTTGCAAAGGAATTAATGGAGGGAAATGGGAGCATGAGTGATGAATCATCGCCCCCTTATGGGGAAATCAGAAGTCAGGTTAATGGTGAATAAGGGCAACTACTCCAAGCTTTAAAGGAAGAGCCTTCCTTCTGAGAAAGAAGAAAGGTCTACCAGCCTTTCTTGGTGATAAGCCATGGGTCATTGGGAATCCCCAAGGCAATGAGAGTGGGAGGAGACAAGAACAGAATCTGAAGTATTACAATTAAAAAGAAAGTTGGATTTGGAGTCAGAGGACTTTTTCTGCTACTTTCTGTCTGTGTGACCTTGTGTGACCACAACCCTTCTGGACCTCAGTTTCCTCGCTGTAATGAAGACCTTGAGCTAGCTGACCTCCATGTTCTTTTTTGGCCCTAGGTCCATGTTGCTATGCTCTAATGCTAGGAAAATTAGAACAAAATCAGGGAGAAAGTTGGTGCCCCTATGGGTAACCTCTTTACTCCAGATTACTTTCCTGTATTAGCCATATTCCTTTCTTACTGTGTTCCATAGGGCCCACACAATGAATATTAACTTAGAAACATGGGAAACTCGTTTCTACCCCACCATAAACCTTTTTTTTTTTTGTAAGTGTAGGTACTCATTCTGAACTCACTCCTTCAACTCACACTTGAATTCACAGGTTGGGTCTCCTGAGGAAGGAGAACTACTACCATCATGTTTCTAACCTTTGTGATTGTCTATACTCCTAATGTAGCTCTTGAGCCACACAGGTGTGTTTCTGTTAACAATCAGTCAACGGACTCAATTTAATCTTAACAATGTAATTCTGTCAGCTAGCAAGAATAATAGTTAAAAAGCATCCTTTCCCAAAACTGGAGACTCAAGCACCTGTTAACACACATAGCATCCGTGGAAAGAGTGAGCAAAAAAACTTAAAAATCCAATAATAATGAGTCATGTATATATATATAAGGGGCACTTGTGGCCAAGGCAATTCATAACTGGAATTCAAAAGGTCCGAATGTCCTTTCTCTCTCTGGAACTGTCCTTGTGA